CTTGTGGGTATAATATCCCATATCAATATATATATTTATAATACACACATTAATTATAATACAAATCTTATTTATTAATAATATAGTATTTAGACAATTAATATTAATAATAATATTATTACTAATAACAACAAATAATAGCAATTTGGCATTTAGGCATTTAACATCAATAATAATAATAATATAATAATAATAATAATAATAATAATAATAATAATAATAATAATAATAATAATAATAAAGATAATTTAATAATAACAATAATCACTATTTATTCATCAAATAATCCACGATAATTAAAAACAGGGTATTACACTGATGTTCGAGATATAAGGAGGGTGAGGAGAGAGTGTCGAGTGGTTGTTAGGCCAAGAGTCATGGGACCGGTTGAGGACTAATCCCCTCGAATCTTGAAATATCATCTTTTACTCCTTAGTTATCTTCTTAACTAACTAGAAATTAATAAATTAGGTTAATTACTTTAACTAATTTAAGTTGAATTTGATTAAGTCTCTGAACAAAATAAGATTACTAATGCTAATAATATTTCCTAACTTCTTTAAATTTTCTTATGAGATATTAAATTCGAAATTCTAATACACTTAGGTACTTAAGTCGAGCTTTGCCTTTTTATTAAAGAGCACATATCATGCTCAATTAATTCCTTGTTAATTTCAGTGATAATAACAACTAGTTATCATCCTGTGCACATGCACAGATGTACATAAAATATTAGAAGTAATATATGTGAATTTAATATTAAAATTATAGATGATAAACATATCATATTTTCAAGATATGTGAATTTAATATTAAAATTCTAGATAATAAACATATTACATTTTCAAGATATGTGAATTTAATATTAAAATTCTAGATAATGAACATACTATATTTTCAAGATTTAATCATTAGTAAAAATAAAATAATATTTATATAAATTATATGAGTACATATGAATCACTATATTGATTAAAAAATAAATTGTAAGTAATGTAATTTTTATAATTTGAAGAGATCATGGTCAAATAATTTACTTGCATATTGAAAACTTTATTATTATTATTATTAGTAATTATTATTATTATTATTATTATTATTATTATTATTATTATTATTATTATTATTATTATTATTATTATTATTATTATTACAATGACAATTGTATATAAGATTTTAAATTTTTTTTTTACTATACTATTAAAACTATTTACTAATTGTTTCTAAAGAAAATTGTTTCATGAAATATAAAATAATAATAATAATAATAATAATAATAATAATAATAATAATAATAATAATAATAATAATAATAATAATAATAATAATAATAACAATATCATTCATAAAACTTAATTAAGTGTAATCATGTATTTATAAAACCTAAATAATCAAAAACTCATTTATTTTCCCTACAAAAGAAGTTACAAAATTGTCATTCATATTTTGCCTTTTACATTAATACACCCTCTTAAGTGTAATCATGTATTTTTTTGCTATTATATTATATAATAGTTAATGCTATTACCAACTCATAATATTTCATACTAAATATAAATTACATAAGTATAAACAATTTTATTGTTAAGATATTATTATTATTGTTATTATTATTATTATTATTATTATTATTATTATTATTATTATTATTATTATTATTATTATTATTTTATTGTTATTATTTATTATTATAGTAGTTAATGCTATTTTTTGCTATTATATTATATAATAGTTAATGCTATTAATTTTTTACATGATTACACTTAATAGGGGTGTATTAATGTGAAAAACAAAAATCAAATGACAAATTTTGTAACTTCTTTTAGAGGGAAAAAAAAATGAGATTTTATTAATTATATTTTATTTATGAGGTTTTATTTAATGATTAGCTAGCAATTATATATATATATAGATAATATTTATAATAATAATTTTAATTAAAAAGCATGAAAAGGATGTTTTGAAAATTGGGGCACTTCAACCGACATTTTAGGTGGGCTCTTTTAAGGGTTAAAGCACTAACGGGAAATAGATTATTTGGCAACAGTTGACCAAATGGGCTCTCTTCAAACAATTTATTCTCATTAGATTGGATGATCTAATAATAAAAAAAATCAAGATTATACCTTCATTAAGGATAATTTGGTCATTACTATTACAGATTATCATGTCACACCATCCCACCACACACTTAATCCATACAAAACACACGCACACACATCTAACACACACACACACACACACCTAACACATGCACACATGTTCTGCACACAAACCAACCATACACACACTGTACACATTAATTACACAACATGTACACACATTAACACTCACTGTACACATTAATTACACAACTTGTACACACACTAACATACACTGTGCACACATTAATCACACACACATACACACACACATACATAAACATTTATACACAGGCAGACGGTGTGTCTCAGCCGCCGCCGCCCGATCTCCGGCTCTTTCACTGACCGGCATCCTCGCCAGAAACAGTCTGTGAGCATATCCACCGTCGAACACCTGCAACCACCTATTATATGAAACTATCCTAATCTGGTACTCTAACACCACCAACCGGAGAGAGCTCCTCCACCGTCGACCGCCTCCCTGCCGCCAAGGTTCCTGAACGCGCCGTCGTCATCAACCAGACATAGCCGTGCTGCCAGACGCGAAAGGGCACCACGAAGCTCCAAACGTTGCAGTCGTCGCCAACACACTCCGGCAATAGGTCGCGATCGTCGGGATCTCGTCGTAATACGCGACTAAACCCGCACAGGTCACGGCGGTGGGAAGCTCAAGCATGAACGGAAATGTCGCTGCGGCCATGGACGCCGGACGGCGCGACCGGAGGTGGCTGGTCGATGGCGGGTGGGTGGTGGAGGATGGAGATGAATTTGAAGAGGGGATGGTAGCAAAATAAAATCTGAAAATGGATTGTGTGTAAGGATCTATTTGCAATTTTAACAATTATAAGTATGTGAGCCATATCAACAATTGGGCACATAATTGAGAATTAGATTATGTGTAAGGATCTATTTGCAATTTTAACCATTGTAAGTATATTTCAATTTAACCCACATGTCAAATTTGTAATTATTAAAATTTAATAAATACTCATTTTTGTACCTTTTGTTATGCATATATATTATATGATAAATAAATTATTAAATAACAATAATGTAAAATATTAAAATAACATAAAAATAATTTATATTAATGAGTAATTTATATAATAAAAAATAAATAAAAAGATATTTCAATAATTTAAATTAATTTGATGTACAATTATATCTTTTAATAATTTTCGAATACACATAATTAATATATTAATGCACGTTATATAGAGGGATGTTGCACTTAATAAAACATTAAGTTGCACTTCATAAGACGACTCGTCGCACTTTATCAACATAAGTAACGTCAGTAATTTATAAATTAGTGCATGTTATATAGCGGGATGTTGCACTTTATAAAACAATAAGTTGCACTTTATAAGACGACATGTTGCACTTTACCAACATAAGTAATATCGCTCCCGCAAAAAAAATATTTCGTGGTATAGATCTTAAAAACAGGTCTAAATAATTGCACTTTATATAACAATACGTTGCACTATATACAGAAATATGTTGCACTTTATAACACGACATGTTACAACTTATAAAACAACATACGCGTACAAAAAAAGATGGTAATTCTGCAAATCGATTGAATAAATTATTTGGTCAAATGTCGAAATTAGTCTTTTTAGATAAATAAAATAACTGCATTATTACCAAATTTTTTTATTTATATTTTTTTAATAAAAAATTATAGTAGTGTTTTTTATATGTATTGCGAATGCACATAATGGCTATACTAATTGCACATAAATTCCTACCAGATTGCACAAAATCGAACGAGATCCGACGAATATAAATTCAGCATGAAAAATTATATTATGTTCCGATTATTATTATTATTATATATCAATTTTCGATACGATGACATTTCTTTATATAAATAACTAAAATAAAAACCAAACTATATTGAATATATTATTTTTTATTCTTTATTTATTTTTTAAAAACAAAAATTAAGCAAGAAATTTTATTGAAGTATAAAGAATTAATATAGTGAATTTTATGTATGATTGTATACGTATTAAACTTTTATTATACTATCAATTTATTATACTATCAATTTGTCAATTGAACTCAATTGAAATAAAATAAAATTTCAAAATTTCCAATTAGGCCCCTAGAATAAATCAAATTCTCACATAAATGACCTCAAAACTCAAACAACATTCATGGTATAACAATCTGCTATATCCGGCCATAATCATATTGGTTGTCGGCAGCCGAGGT